AAACTCTGCCCTGAAAGTTAGAAGAATTATGACGCTCCATGGTGAAAGCCGAGTTCCTTCGGAAGCCACGAGGCCGATGCCCCTTCTCTAACAACCAGAGCAAAAAATTTTATAGGTACATGGAACGTCCGAAAAATGTGGGAGACCGGGAAGACCAGTCAAATAGCAACTGTCAATACCAGGGAAAGTCTTTAACAGAGTGTTGCTGAACCGGGTGAAAGACGCAGTAGACGCCCAAATTCGAGATCAACAGCTGGGTTCCGTAAGGATCGGTCGTGCACAGACCAAATTGCAACACTACGGATCATCGTCGAACAATCAGTTGAGTGAAACTCGTCACTGTACATCAACTTCATTGATTATCAAAAGGCATTTGACAGTGTGGATAGGAGAACGTTATGGGAACTTCTTCGACATTACTGAGTTCCTGAGAAAATTGTCAATATTATCCGGAACTCATACAACGGACTACAATGCAAAGTCGTGCATGGAGGACAGCTGACAGATGCATTCCAAGTAAGGACTGGAGTCAGACAAGGCTGTCTACTCTCTCCCTTTCTCTTTCTTCTGGTGGTCGACTGGATTATGAAGACCTCGAAATCTGAGGGAAAACACGGAATACAATGGACAGCTCAGAATCAATTAGGCGATTTGGACTTTGCAGATGACCTGGCCCTCCTATGGCATACACATCAGTCAGTCAGTCAGTCAGTAACAACGTAGAACTTCGTACGTACGTACATCAGTTCGAGTTGCCACACCACATTAGCACAGAGATGCACTTGTCGATTCAAATCCCATAGTGGTAGAGGTAATAAGAGTATAAGCAGTAATCGGGAAGATTAGGGTTTGGAGATGTTATTTAAAGAGTATAATCCAGTGAAAGAAATTTGGAAAGAGGAAAAAAGGGACATGAAGAATTCAGAAGATTAGAATTTGGGAGAACACAGAGAGTGGATGCACCTGCGCCATTGCAAACGATTTTGAGCCATGTCATTCAGGGTCTCTAACCATCGGTTGCTGTCATCTCGCGGTCCCCAACCAGGTAGTCTACACCTACCAACATGACTCAGTTCACTTGTCAGTGACTTGTGCCATGTTTTGGTTTGGCCGCCCCTAGCTTTCATCCAACCTACTCCTATACCACTGAACATAGCACGTCGAGGCAGTCGGTCGTTGGGCATACGTAACACGTGTCCCAGCCATCTCAACTGATGAAGTTTCACTACGTCATCAATTGATTTGCCATCCTTACCTAGTACCCGTTTCCTAACAACTGTGTTACTTACTCGATGGTCCCATGATATACGAGCAATGTTTCGAAGACACCTATGATCAAATACTAGTAACCTACGGATATCCTCTACTCTTACCGGCCATGTTTCACTGCCATAAAGTAGGACGGGACGAACTGCTGCGCAGTAAACACGTCCTTTGGTTGATAGACGGATATCTCGCCTACGCCATAAATGACGCAAGTTGGCAAAAGCTAGTCGAGCCTTCTGTATCCGTGCTGAGATTTCGTCACACACCAAACCACAAGGGCTGATGAGACTTCCAAGATAAGTGAAGCGGTCGACACACTCAACTACTTCACTCCCTATCACTAGTTCGGGTGTCGATGTAACCCAATCCTGAAGCAACATTTTGCATTTCGAGGGAGAGAATCGCATCCCGAACATGCTTGCATTGTTGCTTAGAGTGGTCAGAAGACTCTGCATTTTGTCAGCGTCTTCACCAAATAAAACTATGTCATCAGCATATTCTAAGTCAACAAGTGAACCTCCCGGTAGAAGTTCAATCCCTGTAAATTTAGATGAGGAGAGTGTTATCTCTAAAAGTACGTCAATGACAAAGTTGAACAAGAATGGGGAGAGTGGACAGCCCTGACGAACACCACTTGAGGTGATCAATTCTGATGACAGTTCGCCATAAGCTCTCACTCTACCAGTTGTGTTCGAGTAGAGAGCCTTTATAAGGTTAATGTACTTCTTTGGTACTCCTTTCAGCGACAAACACTGCCATAGAACCTCACGATCAACGGAGTCGAATGCCGCCTTAAGGTCGAGAAATACTACCATTGTGGGGCGTCTGAATGTGTGTCTCTGTTCTAGAACCTGACGTAGTGTGAATATCTGATCTATACAACCACGTCCAGGTCGAAAACCAGCCTGGTTTTCTCTAGTCTGCTCTTCACGAGCTTTAGTTAGGCGTCGAAGTATTATTGAGGCTAATATTTTAGACACTATATTAGTCAAACTGATTCCTCTGTGATTGTCACAAGAGGACTTTTGTCCTTTCTTAAAAACTGGCACAATCAGTGATTGAGACCAGACAGATGGGATTATGTCCAGTTCCCAAATTCTACCTAAGACCTCGGTTAATCTCATTGCTAATACTGGACCACCATCCTTAAAAATCTCAGGAGTAAACCTGTCAGGGCCTGCTGCTCTCCCTCGTTTCAGATTTCCTATGGCTTTTTCAACTTCGTAAAGGGACGGAGGACTTACATTAACTTGCCATTCAGGTTGACTGCAGATCGTGGGAAACCGAAGTGTGGCTGAAGGCCAGTTGAACTGATCCCTAAAGTGTTCTGCCCATCGATCCAATCTCCTGGATTGAGAATGAATAATATGTCCATATTTCTCTGAGATTGTTTCGCTAACGGTCGGGTTCCTAATTCCGGTTTCCTTAACGAGTCTAAACAATTGTCTGCTATTACCTATTGCCGCTGCCTTTTCCATCTCTCTTGCTTTCGCTACCCACCACTGTTCGCGATCATTGCGTAGACTTCTTGTCAGCTTGCGCTTAAGCTGACTCCGCTCTTCATTATGTTCAGAGCCAGGTGGAATGTGTTTCCGAGCATTTATCAGTGAGATAGATCCTGCTGAGATCCAGTGTTGCTCCCTAACCTTCTGGTTTACCTTACTAGCAGATATCACTGCTGTTTCCACAGCTTTTCGGATATCGTTCCATGCTGCATCGGGGTGGGCATCACATACATGGCTGCCTAACTGTTTTCCTAGTTGTTCCTGAAATATATTCTTAGCTTGACTATCATTAAGTAGGGACCCAAGAGGTTTCCTTGCAGGATCTTTCCTACGTCCAGTAAGACGCAAGCAAATACGCGCTCGCACTAGAGCATGATCTGAATCTAGGCATGTGCTCCAGAATGAGCGACAGTCTTCTATCGAGCCCCTCCATCGGTGGCTGATAGCGATGTGATCTATTTGGGTCCAACGTTGGGACGAATTAGGGGGTCGCCATGTTAAAAGATGTTTTTCCTTATGCTTAAAGTTAGTATTTGCAAGGAACAGGCGGTTATCTGAGCATAGCTGCAACAGACGGTCGCCATTATCTGTTCTTTGAGCCACGACACCATAGGATCCACCTAGGTGTCTTTCCTTATCGCTTAGTTTACCTACTTGAGCATTAAAGTCACCGGCCACTATTACTACATCCGAGCGCTTAGCTTTTCGGAGAAGGTCCGAAAGCTTTTTGTAAAACTCATCTTTTACATCATCTGAGCTGCAGTCAGTGGGAGAATAGGCAGAGACGACGAAGAGGCAACGACGAGTGTCCCTATCTTTCCGGATTCTTACTGTTCCGTTCAGTCGGACAGCGCACAAACGACTGTTTACTGGGATCCACTCTAAGAGAGCTAGTTCTGCCCTGGGACTCAATGCTATACCTACGCCGGCGAGGCCACGGGAAGCAGAATCAGGGCTTCCAGATACACGAAGCGTAAATCGAGTCGGTTCTTTATTTTGGCATGGTGAGGTCAAGTGAATGACGCTACTTGGATCCTGTATGCGCGTTTCGGAGACGCAGCACACATCGATGGCGCGAGATTCTAAAGTTTTAGCTAAGGAAGCCTGCTGTCCTATTTGGCAAAGTGTTTGTACGTTGAAAGCTCCTACGTGTAGTTTAGAGCGTGGTTTCAGGAGACCAGGAATGGCGTTCCACGTACTCGAATCGTTTGCCCTAGCGGTGCGAGGTGATAAAGAGACGTGAGGAGAGTTAGTCGGGAGGATAAGAGAGGTATTAGGGGGTGTAGGAAGGATTTGAATGCGACCACCTTGGTCTCTTGTGCTGTTACGGGTATGAGGGCTGATGTCACTTCCCGGCTGCCCACACCGTGGAAGGGTATTTCTTGAGGAACCTGAAAAGGAAATTGGATTAGTGTTGGTCTTGACGACCTGGGAGCGTGACCGCAGAGCCCAAGGGACAACTGCTTGAGGCCGGTCGCGCACGGCCTTTTTGTGGAAGGTTTTTGACGTGTTAGCTCCGTTCTTCAAGGGGCCTTACCGCCGGAGACGGAAATCCGTGAGGTAAGGTGAGGTGTGCATTTTTAGGGTCGACCTTTTCTAACCCCACCCCTCCTTGTGGGAAGGCAGCATCGCTGTCATGCTGGTTGTCCGAGGGAAACACCTTACTGCTGTCACACCTCTCTACAGTCAGCAGTACGACTTCGCCTTCGGACCTTGAGTTGCTGCTTTTAGTCTTACCGTTCGCCAATCGACCTACCTGGCATGGTAGAACCTGCAGGAACATATGTTCCAGCCAATATAGCTCGGTTGGGTCATCACGATAGGCAAGCCCGACCACCGCGTCAAGGTAGCAGCTTCGATCGGGATGGCATACACATGAATAAATACAGATAGACAGCCAGTGTAGCAGCAGTCTCTGCATCAGTAGGCCTCAGCATACACAAGGGGAAAACCAAGGTCCTCAAATTCAAAGCGGAAAACAGCAATCCAATCACTCTTGATGGCGAAACCCTGGAAGATGTAGAATCCTTCACATACCTGGGAAGCATAATCGATTAACAATGAGGTTCAGATTCAGACGTAAAGGAGGGGATCGGCAAATCAAGAACAGTATTCCTACAGTTGGAGAACATATGGAACTCAAAACAACTTTCAACCAATATCAAAGTGAGAATCTTCAATACGAACGTCAAGGCAGTTCTACTGTACGGAGAACTACAACAACCATCATCAAGGTGCACGTATTTATAAATAGCTGTCTACACAAGATACTCAACATCCATTGGCCGGATACCATCAGCAACAGCCTACTGTGGGAGAGAACAAACCAGCTTCCAGCTGAAGAGGAAATTAGGAAAAGACGATGGAAATGGATAGGACATACACTACGCAAATCGTCGAACTGCATCAGGAGACAAGCCCCAACTTGGAATCCTGAAGGCGGAAAAGAGGAAGGCCAAAGAACACACTACGTCGGGAAATAAAAGCAGATATGGAAAGGATGAATAACAAGTGGAAGGAGCTGGAAAAGGATTGCCCAGGACAGGGTTGAATGGCGAATGCTTGTGGGCGGCCTATGTTCCTTCACGAGGAGCAACAGGCGTAAGTAAGAAATAGTACGAAGCAATTGACATAAGAGAATGTAAAGAATTGGAATGACTTCGGTTATTAATAACAACATATATATATGCAAGAGCAGGTTAAAGGTTATTTGGTGTTAGGATTAAGAAAACATCAAGGACGACTGGTGTAATAGTCGAATGGAGTTCAGACACATAAGATCAATTGTGTGATAATTTTAGAGGTAATGAAGGATTCATGAAATTAAAAACTGATATGATAATTGAAAAGAATTCGAAGAGTTCACATAATTTAAGAGGACCAAGTGAGAAATGTGAGTGAAAGGGTGGTTCAAAACTCGGTAATGGGAGAGGAATATAACACGATTGTTTTCCAATTATTACGTAACCCATCTTATCAGGGAACCAACTGCATGAGATTATTGTCTAGTCCGGTACTAATACTAATTTGATAATAGACCTAATCCGACGACGGGAAATATGCCATGCGGTTACCTAATCCGTAAGCTTCTACGTAGAAGTCGCATCACTCACTGTGTAAAGCGACTCATCGTCTCATCAAAATTAACAATGACATAACGCTACGTTCTAACGAAACTTCAGAACTGATGCAGTAGTACAAGTTCTTAATTCTCAAAGACAGTTACTCGTTAACACTACCTCCCCATGAAAGTAGGAAGAGGGAAATAAAAATTATGCACAAGTTTATTAAATAATCATTAATACTGAATCAGAAAAACGAGTTTACAAGTTGTTATTGATAATTCCTAAAAATTAATTGTTGAAGTTTTCCTCAACTTCCATCGCGAAGCGTTCACCATATTTCTCAATTGTGTTGTCTGTAAAGTCTTTGGCATCGTAGAATGCTTATATACTCACCACTCCGTCTCGGTAATGAAAGTGTTGTGTCATTTCGTAAGTTCTGAGTATTATCTAACTTTCATCTACTGCAATGTCTAATAATTTATATTTCGTATTTGATTAAGCATATCTGTAATAGTTCGTAATTTAACATAAGCCAGTAGTGTATGGCGACAAGGATATTGGCACATAAGAAATATTCTAGATGCACTCACAAGCGCTTATATCCACCTCGTAATGCTTTCCACAGTCCACCATGAACAACCAGTCAACATTTTCATATTCCACCTAAACGAAACACATCTTTTTTAGTTCGCTTTCTCGTCATACGACCTGAAATATACTTCTATACACTTACCTGTGGAGAGTTTAGCTTTCATACTCTTCACATCGGCAGCAGTGACCTGCTTACCAGTCCTATGTTTGATAATTTCTATTACTACATCTGTTGATTGAGACTGCAATATGACCGGCTTCAAATTTTCTTTTTCTTCGAACGATAACCTTCTGGCCCATGGGTCAAAAACCATCCACGAACTACTACAAGGGTGATTGTGCAACATGTTGTATGATTTTATAACATATCCTTCCGCTTCCAATCTTACGCGGAACCTCGATTGACAGTTAAGAAACTTAGACCTTAAATGTCACATATTAGTTAAGGTTCTCACGGTTTTTGATTCATTGTCAGACATTGTGATTTACGCTTATGACCGAATGTACAGTGAAATGTCACAAAAAGGTATTTGAACCTGACATCCCTGAGCAATCTGCTCTCTGTGTGGACATAATGAGTATGGGTAGTCTGAAAAGGGATAAGATTATTCTTTCATACTTTTTGGAACTGTTTTAGAGCGCTGTCAAAGTCATCCCAGGTTGCGAAACGCTTGTTCAGTATAATACGTTGAAAAGCATCGCTTAAGTCGACTGAAATGTCACTTGAATACGAAGCACTACAAACGGAAACCATTAATAATGAAAGCTATTTCTCGAAACAATAATAACCCAACGAAGTACTACAAATATTTAAGACCTACCGGTGACTTGACATTTCGTTGACGTTTACTACAGCAGTTAGGATCACAGACCAACTTACGAAATAACAACAGTGCCAACGTGTACACTACAAAACAAATAATGCTAAATTAATGCTTTTGGTAGTTATTTTGTACTTTATAATACAGCAAAAGATGACTTAAAAATGGGAAAACTTAATACTCATGCAACCTACCGCAATTGAAGTACAGAATGACCGCCGTTTAGGTGCGTAGAAACGAAACGGCGGGCAGTTTTGTCTTCAATCTTCAGTAATAAGGATAAGAGGTCTATCGACCTATATTAATCCTTGCGGTTTGTAATACTGTGGAGGTTCAATCTCGTTTTGAATATATTAACAGAATGTGTTGATATTACGTGTTCCGGTGGAGAATTCCAGTAATTCACTACTCGGTGCGAGAAACGAAACTCCAAACTTAAACGATTTGATCTCGGTTTCTGAACTATCTTCGAATGTTATTTCAAATGATCAGTCCTGGACGAAGTAAAAGATAAGACATGGTAATACCAAGGTCATCGTTCAATATACGATAAGCCAATATTAGATCACCCCGTACTCTACAGTTAGATAACGGAAATAAGTTGGTGTGTCTCAGTCTGTCTTCATGAGATAGATCAGATGGACCTTGTACCATCTCAGTACCTCGTCGTTGGACTCTTTCCAGCATCTCTGCTTCATACTTGAAACAAGGACTCGCTGCTTGGATCCCATATTCTAAATGTGGTTGCACATAAATCGGGTATAATAGTCTAAACATTTCATCATCTAAATACTGGAAAGACCTACGAATAGATCATAACACCCTATAGCCTTTCGCAGCACCAGCCTTGCAGTGACCAGTGGTTTTGAGATCACTGCTTAATATAACTCCTAAATCCTTATGGCTTCTTAATTTGGGTAGCACAAATCCACATATTGTGTAGCGATACGAATCATCATAGTTATTTAACTGCACCACCAAACTCTTATTGCGATTTACTTCTAGTGACCACCTGTCCAACCATGCCACCAATGAGCTAAGATCATTCTGTAATACCATCCTATCCGACATACTGTGTATAGGTCTCAAAATCTTTATGTCATCAGCGAAGAGTAGGACGGATGATTTCGCTATAGTTGGTAATTCATTTACATAAAGTAAAAAGAGAAGAGGACCGAGGATTGTACCTTGGGGAACTCCACTGTTTACAGGTACCCACGAGGAGAGAGCCCCATCTACCCTCAACCTTTGTCTCCTGTCATGGAGAAAGTTACTTATCCAATCCACGATTGTATAATGGATTCCAAAACGTTCCAGTTTGAATTTAAGACCAGAGTGTGAGACTTTATCGAAGGCCTTACTTAGATCTATGAAGACCATGTGGAGAAAGGCCTGACAACCTTATTTTGTAAGTAGTTTTCAATGTTATTTGTATTTATTTTGTCAACCTTCCACTGTATGTATATTTAACATTAAATGACTGTAACTGTTGTTTTAGTAAATGACCTTGAACACACTTTCCGTTGTGATTCTAACATAGCGTGACATATTCTTGCTGGCTAACAAATACATTGAAAACTATTTACAAAATAAGGTTGTCAGGCCTATCTCCACAATCACATCCACAGGAATATTCTGATCTTTGCAGCAGCTCAATCTTCTCTTGCAATGAGATTTGTCAAGCATGATAGGCCTCTCCGAAAACCATGTTTTTCTCTGGAGAAAAAATTATGACCTTCAACATAGTTTGTAACAGATATCCGAATGAATTTTTCCACCAGTTTTACAACTGCACTAGTTAAGCTAACGGGCCTATAGTTACTAACTAAATCCCTACTCCAAGCCTTATACACCGGACTTATCATAGCATATTTCCAGTCTCTGGGCAGTCTAGACTGCCTTAGAGACATGCCAAATAGTATCGCTAATGGTTCAGCAAGTACATCTGATAAGGCTTTCATAATCCTAGCATGAATATCATCAGGACCACTGTACTTATCAGGTTTGAGATGATGAAGTAGCTTTAAAACAGTACCTTTCTCAATGACTACAGGATCCACCAGCGAACAGCCATAATCACAATGAATCGTTGATCGTTCTTCATTACCGATAGAAAACACTTTACTGAAATATTCCGATAAAACTTCAGCTTTTTCGTTATCACTGTCTGCCAAAATTAACGAATTTTCTTGTACTAAAAGTGATGGAATTCCATCGCTTCTCTGAGTTCGCCCTTTTAAATACGAGAATAAACGTTTCGGACTATATCTAGAATCCCTAACCAATTGTTTTTCATATGATCGTCTAGTCTTACTTAATAACGCCTTACAGGCATTCCTAATCTTACAATAACTGGATATGTATTGTTCTAAGCCAGTAGAGATGAACATTTTCCAGTGCTTCTTCCTTCTTCTAAGAAGTTTCCTGACTGTTTTAGTTATCCATGGGGGACTGTTATTCGATCTTCGCGGTACCAGGTATGGTATGATTGAGGACGTAACTAAACCAAACTTACCTTTAAATACAGACCATGCTTCTTCAATTGATAAGCTAGTATCTACAAACCAATCTGTCTTAGCAGCGCATTCCTGAATGGCTGATATGTTAGCTTTCCATATATTTGTGCGGGTTGTAACCTGATCGTATATTATGTCCCTAGTTCTAAACATGAATGACAAAACAGCGTGATCGCTGTTCACTAATGGTGGGAGAATATTCAGGTCGACAATATCCTCAGTCTCATGAGTGATTACCAAGTCCAACAGAGAACCTTGGTTAGTACCAAAACGTGTGGGTTTGGATACATGCTGCATTAGTGCCTGCTCCATTATTGTTACCAGGAACCTACTACCAAAGGGGTTTATATATCCTTCCGTGGTCATCTCAGTCCAACTAATATCAGGTACATTAAAGTCTCCTATTATCAAGCATCTGGTATTTGCACTCCATAGATGATGGAGCTCCTAACCTCATGTCCAACCCTCCTCCTTTACCCGGACATTCGACCGGCAGTAACTCTAGAAGAGCTACAAGCGTAGTTCCCCTATTATCAAGCATCTGTTATTTGCACTCCAAAGATGAATGTGCTCTAAAATGAAGTCATCAGTTAAGCAGATCGGGCTGTGATAGATGACACCGAGTATAAATGGACTACTTCCGATAGCCAATTTACAGCTAACGATTTCACAAGTACCGCTATCAACAATTATCAACCGCTTAATGATAATTATTGTGCGAACCTACTTAGACTGAGTGACTTCAAATTCATTAATGATAAAATAAATCAGTGGGCTGATTTTAAGTCGCATATAATATTAATTTTAATAGAGAAAAAATTATCAAGAACGCATAAATAATATGAATAAGAACAAGTTAAATGGAAACAATATAGATCGATATTTCATTACACTGATTTTTGAAGTTAGTGGTTAGGGATCAGGTTTATGTTTAAAGTTAGCGATAGGATAGGGTTGGGGTTAGGTGTAATAGCTAAGTTTAGTTCTTATTAACAATGATAAATTTATAGCGACTCACGTGCAATCGAGTTTACTCTCATTTTACTCAGTTAAGCCCTTTTGCTATATATATATGTACATTTACACTTACTACTACTACCGCCACTGCTGCTACTGCTACTACTACAATCGTAGTTTGCTTGCTCATTCGTTTTGCGACTCTGTTGTGTGGTCCGAAATATCTGCTAAATAAACTGTAGTAGCTGCTTCTTTTTACCTTCTGATTTCAAACACCGTTGAAGATTATATAGTAACGGTACGAGGGTGATAAGTTATCGAAGCACAGCCACTACAAATTCACGACAGACGAAAACATAGCCAACTTGGGAGAATCCACTGTTAATGTGAGAACAATATAGTCTTTGTAAGGCATCTGTTTCTATTAAAAGTCACAAATCTTAATTAGCTGGTTTGTGATCAGATGAAATGAGTGAAACTAATTTCAACGTTTTCCTCGATACCTGTCAAGCCCGACACCATACTTGAAGTTTAGTTATCAATGAATAGGCTTGCTACCACTCTGTCGGCTTTTCCCGATACCTGAAGGTGTTTATGACCAGATCGACAATAATAAAAAAGAAGATAGAAAAAAGTAAGCATTCTTATTTAATATCAGTCCTCACTAGTGGTGCATCTGTGATCAGTTCCCCATCAATAACTTTTCAGTTCAGTCTTTCATACGAGGTCCATGTTATAGTGAAGATAATTATAATTGTTATTATTAATAATGGTTTTACTCAATATCATATTTTGGTACAAGAAATCGCTACTCTGAGCATTTACTGAATCTTTTTTCATTTAGTGAATACTCTGTTTAAAACTTCTGATACTCACTGTAACGAAAATAACATACTGGAAATCCCTCGGAAATGTTTTATTGAAGAATATTGTTTTTTCTTTGTTCTTTCCGCAACCTCGTATTTTAACTCCCACTCAAATCTCTCCTATTCACGTTTTATATTCTTCAGTCTTCTTTATCCATTCGTTTTGCTGCCAAGCACGTTATTTTGTGCTAGTGAAACTTCTGATTGTAAAGCGTAAGCTGTACCGTTTGAGTTGATTTTTTATTTTGCTATAATCTGTTTGCATTCGTAAATTATGAGTATTTAAATTGATTATAGAGTCTAAGTTTCGCCATACTTTAACACAAGAGTGTAATTTGGCTTAATCATATAAAATTTGGTTCGTTAGCTCTACGTTCAGATCAAATACTGATGTTCACTACTCGGTGCGAGAAACGAAACTCCAAACTTAAACGATTTGATCTCGGTTTCTGAACTATCTTCGAATGTTATTTCAAATGATCAGTCCTGGACGAAGTAAAAGATAAGACATGGTAATACCAAGGTCATCGTTCAATATACGATAAGCCAATATTAGATCACCCCGTACTCTACAGTTAGATAACGGAAATAAGTTGGTGTGTCTCAGTCTGTCTTCATGAGATAGATCAGATGGACCTTGTACCATCTCAGTACCTCGTCGTTGGACTCTTTCCAGCATCTCTGCTTCATACTTGAAACAAGGACTCGCTGCTTGGATCCCATATTCTAAATGTGGTTGCACATAAATCGGGTATAATAGTCTAAACATTTCATCATCTAAATACTGGAAAGACCTACGAATAGATCATAACACCCTATAGCCTTTCGCAGCACCAGCCTTGCAGTGACCAGTGGTTTTGAGATCACTGCTTAATATAACTCCTAAATCCTTATGGCTTCTTAATTTGGGTAGCACAAATCCACATATTGTGTAGCGATACGAATCATCATAGTTATTTAACTGCACCACCAAACTCTTATTGCGATTTACTTCTAGTGACCACCTGTCCAACCATGCCACCAATGAGCTAAGATCATTCTGTAATACCATCCTATCCGACATACTGTGTATAGGTCTCAAAATCTTTATGTCATCAGCGAAGAGTAGGACGGATGATTTCGCTA